TTGGAACTTAGTATCATCAGACAGGTCTCTGGGCCAAAACAAACGTATTAATTTTACAAGTGGACCATTCATGAGTTGGGACTTAGTATTATCAGACGGGTCTCTGGGCAAAAACAAACGTATTAATTTTACAAGTGGACCATTCATGAGTTGGGACTCAGTATCATCAGACGGGTCTCTGGGCAAAAACAAACGTATTAATTTTACAAGTGGACCATTCATGAGTTGGGACTTAGTATTATCAGACAGGTCTCTGGGCCAAAACAAACGTATTAATTTTACAAGCGGACCATTCATGAGTTGGGACTTAGTTGGTTTAGATGGGTTCATATAGCGGCTGGCACGAGGTACCGCTTTAGACTAGGTAAAATATCCAAGTTTACCTGTTGAATCAAAGTGCTCTTTCTTAGTTCAGATCTATTAGATCTCCGAGTAAAGGCCTAATTTTGTGACCATCGTGTTTTGGTTGAACGAAGATAAATCCCGACAGAGTTAAGACTAAACACTACCTAGTAGATCATTCATTGTCTGAACTGCGTTTTTGTTTGATTTCAATAAAGATTGTGTTGTTTTATTCAGAACATGACCAGTGTCATTATTTCACACAATAGAAGGCTCAGTCAAGTTTCCAAAGACAGATCACTTCATAGATTTCGTGGTTGACCATTAGCAGATCTATCTAATACTTATAGGGAAGTCAACTGACCTAAAAAAACCATAGTACCGAGCTCTGATCGACTCTAATCCTAACCTGTGTCTGTCACACTTGGTCAGGACTAGAGAAAGTGTGGCTGATTCTTTGTGGTCAGTACATAAGATAGTCGTTATCCTTCTTCAGAACATCTGTGATGATGCTTTCAATGTACTCTCGTATGGATAGCAACTTTTGAATAACCCTGTTGTCCTAAACCAAGTTGATGTTTCGTATCGTCATTAGGTGCAGTGGTCTTGAGTTATACGGTCCTTGTACTGTTTTATTGACATAGAAAAGTCCACCGCAGGTAGTCCTTTTGTTGATCTGAAATTAAAATGATTTGTTTGTTTTCTAAACGAAACAACTATGACAATCTGTTCCTTTCTGATTTAACTAAGTCCCGCCCTCATTTTCTTTGAATCTTTAGATTTGCAGTCTTAACACTTATAAATAATTCCAGTTTTACCGAAGACTGCCAAACGTGTTCTCTCATCATCCAAGACATACTCTCAGACTGGCTGTGTTTACTTAACAGGTTCTCTCATCATCCAAGACATACTCTCAGGCTGGCTGTGTATACTTAACACGTTCTCTCATCATCCAAGACATAGTCTCAGACTGGCTGTGTATACTTAACAGGTTCTCTCAACATCCAAGACATACTCTTTAAGTAAACACAGCCAGTCTGTAGGTTCTCTCATCATCCAAGACATACTCTCAGGCTGGCTGTGTATACTTAACACGTTCTCTCATCATCCAAGACATACTCTCAGACTGGCTGTGTATACTTAACACGTTCTCTCATCATCCAAGACATACTCTCAGACTGGCTGTGTATACTTAACACGTTCTCTCATCATCCAAGACATAGTCTCAGACTGGCTGTGTATACTTAACAGGTTCTCTCATCATCCAAGACATACTCTTAAACACAGCCAGTCTGCTTAACACGTTCTCTCATCATCCAAGACATACTCTCAGACTGGCTGTGTTTACTTCACAGGTTCTCTCATCATCCAAGACATACTCTCAGACTGGCTGTGTTTACTTAACAGGTTCTCTCATCACTCAAGACATACTCTCAGACTGGCTGTGTTTACATGTTTGTTACTCTCTACAGTACAGAACTATTAGTTGTACAGAAACAAAAGGAGAATATTTTCATTCACAAGTGTCGTTCTGTCGCCAAGAGGGTCGGACGCGGTATAAAAATGACAGTGGGTCTCATTATTCGGTTCAAAGAGCCGGAAAAAGCTGTTGTGACGGCAGGTCTGCTGTCTGTTTTCAATTCAATTGAGTGGCAGGTATTTGGGTTATAAATAGATAATTAGATAAATGAGTAAAAAAAGGTATTTGTTGTCTGTTTGGCTACCTTCCCTCTAGGCATTAGTTTAAAATTAGGGACAGCTATACCTGAATCGGAGGGGGTGTCCCTATTCTGACCGATTGTCCCAAAAGCGCATGTGGTTCTTTTAAGATTGAAAATCCAGTTCTGAATCTCCAACAGCGATAAAACATCCAATGAGGGAAAGCCTATTTCAATCAGTAAAATTATAACCAATGATCTTCACGTGTCAGCCCCTCTACTGGTAAAGTACAGATTTAATATGGAATATATGGGCTTTAATTTAAAATGTTGTTTTCATTTGCCCTTCACAAGTTGGTATTACAGTTGTGCATTCAGAATATATCACTAGTTAGAAGGGTGAGTAGGCAGTAGGTGAACCCTCGTTTTGTGAAGTACTTAGAAATATGAAACTTTTAAAAGGATCACTTATTTTTGCTTATAAAACTAATTATATCTCTTGATATCATTGAAAAAACAGTACAAATTCGATAATTGGCGGGAGGAAAACTCGTTACGTCACAAGTGTTTTGTAATAATGGTAGGAAGACCTCGTGGTGATATTATAACATTTGTATGAACAAAATAGTATTTTAAGGAACTTACTTGAATATAATGATCGTTATTCCTTTAACAATGATTTTTTTTTTTCATTTACAAACATAAAATTCGCGGCCATTCCTTCAAGTTTGGAAGGTGACCCCAAATGTCAGTTTGTGGGAGACATTTATAGTCAGGCCATATTAACACGTATACAAATTATACCATAGAGTGGAGGCCCCCAGCTGAATTGGAGATTCACTCGAGGTCAACTTTCTTTGCCCCCCCCCCCAAACCTTTTTTGAAATGACACTCCTGATTTAATGAACAATTAACTGGGTGGTGTATCTAGGAAGGAGTTCTCATTTATTAATTTTTGTCTCTCGAAATATAAACTATTTTTTCTGTAAAAAAGGTTAGGTGAAGGAATGATTGAGGAAAGGGTTTTGGGAAGCTTAACCTACTAGTATATTGGCATTAACAACAAAATGTCATTGAAACTGAGATTCTAGATACTTCCAGAATCAGAAGTTTCCATATGGGATAAGAGAGGTTTGAAAACTCTGGTTACTGGAGCCCAGAACTTACACAGGGTGTGTAAGTAATGGTTCGGGTTTAGTTTATGTTTAGATTTGGGCCATCTAATTTGGGATCTAGAGTTGGCTGCGCGGAATTTATTTGAAAACTGACAAGAACATGCAGATGGTTGATCAGAACAAGATTTTGTGTAGTTGGCGTTCCCTGTGATCTTTCAAGGTTGCTTTACTAGTGTGCATATATTTTTAACACAAGGAGACGTAAGGAGTTACGATTGGTTGTCTCGGAAAACCTTGATCAGTAAGTGACGTCATGCAGCTTCCACCAGAAGCTATTTAAACCAGTCAAGTTATAGAGCCAGTTAAGAAATACTGGAGTATATTTTTAGGCTTTAGCCCTGCCCTTTTTGAGTGAGCAACACTTGCTGTATTTATATATATAAAGTAGCTCACGTACCCGTTCATAGTACAGGGAAGACATGGGGGTCACATAAGGGGTCAGATCTGAACGCCGACCCCCTTCCTTGTGTCACTCCTCGAGGGTCCTAAGGTTACGCGCCAGGTTTAGTGATAATCGGTTTAGCGGTTCGCCAGTTATAAGCGGACACACAAACATACGCAGCGTTTTTGTGAAATAATTGTTTATTGATATTTTTAAAAAAAGTACATGTGTTTAGATATTTAAAAATAATGCAGGTGTTTAGATATTTAAAAATAGTGCAGGTGTTTAGATATATAAAAATCCAGGTTTTTAGATGCTTAAAATAGAGACATGTTATGTATATTCGTTTTACAAATTAAATTTATCACTGAAAAAAAAACTTTCCAGTTGCTTCAATTACAAAACAACCCACATAAAAGATGTATAAAATATCACACTCCAAAATAAAAACTGGTATAAGATCACGGTGAATATATCACATGTAGGCTTAGTTTAATACACGCCACAAGGTGGCGCAGTCCGGATTATATACGTTTGTTTGGTTTGAACATAAAAACTAATTTACATCAATGTTTTATCGTTAGTGTTGAGTTTAATTTTTTTGATGGCTTTGGGACCTTTGCTAGCCCTCCCATGGGTCTTGGCCCCCGTCTATCCTGTCAGTCCGCCACTGAACACATGAATACGTCATACGTATAAAACTTACATCAGAATATATTTTAAGTGTACAATCATTTTATTATTTCTATACATTACATCACCCACAAATACCACTTGCTAACAACGGTGTAATAAATAAAAGCTCATCTACTTTTCAAACAACATTACGTACACACCCTGCCTTTTAATAACCAATCAACTCTGTAGTGTGTCTTTGTTAGGCCTACATGAATATTGGCATATCGCCAGAAACAAATCTTTTACATACCTAAGTGTTGGGTCAGTTTTCTACTTTCTGACTGCTTATATAAAGCGTACCATCAAAACAGACATTTGTGCAACGTCAAGTAAAAATAAATAAACCACGTGCACTAAGTGATCTGTCCATATTACGTTCAAGGTTACATTCAAACAGCAATGTTTAGAAACCACTCTTTTCGATTTAAAACTGTTATATATATATATATATATATATCACAAGTTATGAAATGACTAGATTTAGAACTGTTATATATATATATATATGTCTTCACAAGTTATGAAATGTCTAGACACGAAACGTTTTCCA